AACATAAGGTGCATTCATCTCTGCAGACTATTCCAGAAGAATCTAAAATGACATGACCAAAAAAAAAAAAAAAAAAAAAAAAACAACCAAAAAAAAAAAAAAAACACCCATTACCCACACACACTCCCTCAAACACAAATATATAAGAATATGTCTCAAAGAATTAAATTGATGCAGCTGTTTATCATATATTCCATTTATATTACAGGTACTTGTACCATTTGTTGTATAGAGAAATTGATTTTTTTTCAAACACAAAGCAAATATATCAGGAGCACCTGTTTTTTTTCTTCAGTTTTTGGTTACAACACGTCTTAGTTTTGTAGATGCGCAGAATCTGAAAAAAAAATCACACAAGATACAGGTATCCATTGTTCATAAACATATTATACGAAGGCCATTCAAAAAATAACGCGGACTCGCGTAATATCTACTCTTACAGACGTCAGATACCAATAAAATTTTACAGAAATATATTTCTTAATGTCTCAAAATAATTTTTTGTATTATTTTCTTATATTAATAATTTTATTTATCGAAAATATTGCTGTCATGATATTGCAAATGTTGATGTGCAAAGCACGGCAACAAAGAACTCGACCCACAATATGCCTTATTTGGCCTAGCAAAAAGAAAAAAATAAAGGCTTTATTTCCTATAATTCACGGGAAAATTCAACAATTTTCTCTGCAGTTTCTTTTTATTGTTACGTCTTAACAGGTTTAAATTTTTGACGTGATATTGGAGTAGAAATAGAAATACTGAATTTTTTCTCAGAAGTGTTCCTTCCAAAAATAGCTGCAACAATGACGTTGTGGTTCCGAGCGTTACTCAAAACTTTATGAAATCTTATGAAAGTACGCTGTTACGTTGGGTAACGCTCGGGAAAACGCCAACAGAGACTCGAAGATGCTTGATCAAGCGGGTATTAAACCAACAGAATTTTTGTTGATAACCAATCACAAGATAAAAAAAAAAGTTCCATTTTTATTGTGGAAGTAGTTGTTCATGGCGTCAAAATTTAAAGTCTGATCTGGTCGTATCAAGTATTTAAAGGTAACCTATTTTTAAGCTGCTGAATTTGAAAAAAAAATATATGATCAAATTTCCTATTGCTTCTGAGTTTTTGAGAAACTACCTTTCATTAATACTGCTTCTAGAATATATGGTAATAATACTATTATTATGATATCTTTAATTTACAATTTTTTTAGATTTAATTTTCTTCATTATTAATCCATTAGATATTGCTGCTTCATATGTTCCGGCAATATCCAGTTAATTTTGATTACAAAAGTTTATCTTCCAGCCGGTGAAATCCGATGGTTCATACCCGAATGTTACGTTGCAGGTTAAAATTATGATTTCCGCGTATTCGGAAACACTTAAACTCATTGTTCTTGTGGAACCCATCACACTATGTCTTATGAACTCGATCTGATATTCCGATCCTGATTCATTTTAATACACTGACCTATGACATATAAATTTTCTGTTTATATGGTAAATGCACAGTTATTTATATTTTGAAAGCGCGTCATGAGATCATAGATATGCAAACGTATGCTAGTTTTCAAAACCTTACCTCTCAAGATTCAAAAGATATGCTAAATTAACGGGTTAGGATGTTTCTTGAAAAGTATATGAAAGGTCAAATAGACTGCTGCACTGCATACGCTAAATATCTAGACATCTCAAAGAATTTCCTGCATATGAAAATTATGACCTATTTTAAAAGTACCAGGTAGATCAAAGACCAATCTCAATATCATGAGTTCAATAAATATGGTAATTTCCAAAAGCCTTCGTGCCTTGCAATACTTGAGCGAGCAAAATATCGACTTCCTGTCTCCTAAATTTCAAAATATAAAGTTTTACAGACCGACGGTCGATTACCCAGACAAACAGATGACAGGAAAAATGATCCCTTAGTCTTTTAATTAAAAAAAGAAAGGAATACCAACAATATTATATTTCTTTAACCAAAGACTCCTATTTAATGAATTTCATTTTCTTTAGAATCATAATATATATATTTCAGAATGCCATTAACGCAAGAAAGCAAAATTCTTAAAAAGAGATTTTTATGGTTTATTTTCTCTTATTTCTATGGAACTCTATTCCTGTATTTGATAGCATTTTGCATAATTTGTAATGCGGTGTTGAAATGCGGATTAATTTGAGACGGATAATGCCGACGTTTGCATTTGTTATATGTAGATATTGAAAATGATATACAAGGAAATCATGATAGCGCAAAACACTATATACATATACAACTCCAAGGTCAGGTCTCTAAACGATCTACATAATTATGATGGATGTCGAAAGAGGGCTGTTTTAGAATTTGGAAGTGCAATCACGTGTGTGCCATTCGTAGAGTGGTTATAAAAGTATAACATTTCGTAAACAGGATGAAAGGACCAAATGGCAAGCTTGGTATTACGAGGCTTGTAGTATGAATAAATTTGATTCCACTTATTCCCATATATAAAACGAGGAAGCCTTTTAGATATGGTGGATTTAAATGTGAATTGAAATTTTCGAGGACAGGAACAAAAGTTCGAGTGTCCTCTTCCGGAATGATACTATTTAAACCCTGTTAAGAGCATAAAACCCATCATCTGATTGCGGCAATACATTATAAAAGAGAGCACAACTTTATCAAGATTCTTTTTCTAGATTTATACCATTATTTTTTTCCCGTAGAGAAAAGAAACATTACTGTAAGTATAATTTATTTTTTTTGGTAGCATTTCTTCATTTGTCCACACCATCAAGAATCAAATTTATCTTTGAACCGGGTAAATTTTTGTGTCTTTGAAAAACAACTGTTAGGATTCTTTTAATTACAAAGTAGTGTGCTGTTTCTGAAATCTGCTCCTTAAAATTTACGCCTGTTTTTTTTTAATTGAAAGGATTTTTATTAATCGAGCAAACTTAGATTTTAGAATTAAAACAAAGCAAATAAATTAAGAAAAAAATTGTTTATCTGAGTTGTATCAAACTGTAAACACGTAGTATGATTTTGTTCTTGTGTTATATCAGACATAAGAAGTAAGGCTCACGTCTTTTGTTATTCATTTATTAACCTTACATATCTCTATTCATTCCACTCAATTTAAGGAACACGACAAATTATTTCAAAGCACTAAGTAAACCAATAGGCAGATTTAAAAGGTGCTATAAGAGTTTTTCTAAAAGATCAACATTTTCACTATTTTTTTTTTAAAAACGTTTACACAAAAATGCTTGAGAAACGAAATTAAAAAAAACATTTGAAATTAAAAACAAAGAAAAATATTTTTTTAATTATTTCTATCACGAAAAGAATATTTAAAAAATTCTTTCCAAAAGAAATCTTTATAAGCCATTTAAGTTTGCAAGGATAAAAGTTTTGCATTGATTAGGACTGAAACTTCCCGATCTCTGCAGTAATTTCACTAGTTCAGATGTTTAGATAATGAGGATATCAAGGACTCCATGTGCAATCTCTTGCAACCTTAACTTCGATCCAGTACTAGCATATATATGAATGCAATAATCTATATGCCATTTTGTATCTTGTCTAGTCAAAGTTAACCACCTTGACATTTTATTATCATGTTTTATTTAAAGTTCTTTTTATTGTTTTATCACTTACTTTACATAATAATTTTTTCATAGTTCTGACAGGTCTTTTATTTGTATATTATGATTAATTATTAGCACAAACATTGTACAGCGCATAGCAACTATATCTAATTCTGCGCTTTATAAAATAATTTATAAAATATAATAATAATTATTTAATTTTTACAGAATAAAATTCTTTTACAAAACAAATTGTAGAAATGATCATCCCCACTGATTAAAGAATTGATTGAAGAAAAAAAAGACAAGATTGATATGCATCAATAATTATATTAATTGATTTTATTTAAAAGGGATAATAAATGTTCTATTTATATGCATTATGAACTGAAACTAAATCTGTATTCTATATTGAATCAAAGTTTGGTGTACAGATATTATCCTTACAAAATTATATGGCTTATAAAAAATTGAACAATTTGACAGCTTCACATAGTTATACTGGTTGATTACTATTATAATAAAGTTCCTATTTCTATTCACCAACAAAAAACTACATAATTTTTTTCAATTTGTAAGTAAATATGAAAAACTACATATAAAAAAACAAAAAAACTACATAATTTTTTTCAATTTGTAAGTAAATAACAATTTTAAAAATTTCAAAATGCGAATGAGTATGCCTTACTACATATATAATAGACGAGAAATAAATATTACATTGGAGAAATTATTTTTTAAATTTTTTTTAAAAACTTTATATTTAACATTAAATGTTGGCAACTTGTTATCTTTCGGTTCTGTAAAATACTCAACGTACAGAATTGTAAAACATCTGCTTTTAAAGTATTAATTTTGCAAAAAATGTGTTTGTGATAAAAATAAAATAACCAGGAAGGAAATATCTGCTCTTCTTAAAGATTTCCTTATAAATGGTTTCTTTATCAGGAAGCTTATGGTTTGCTTACTCTGTATTCTAGTGTGAATTTACACTTTATTTTTCAGTGAAAACAAAGAGGATGATGACCTAAGTGTATCATTTTATTTTCTTCTATTAAATTTTAACATATCTTTAACATTGCTTTAAGCGATGTCGATGCATGATACGAACTGATATAAAAGAGCATTTTGCATCTTAATAAATAAATAAATCTAAAAAAAAATATGAAAGCATTACACAACTAATCTGTTTTTATCAATTTTTTTATTTTAAAAAAACTTTTATTTAAAAAGGGAAAACATATTATTTTTGTATGCATAATGGTTCGTAAGTGGCGTTTAGTTTTGAAATATAAATCAAAAAAAATAACAACATTTTTTAACAGATTTTAAATTATAGTTCTAAAAATGAAAACTACATAACAGTTTGTCTAATATTTTCGTAAACTTAATTATTTTCAGTTGCAGGTCAGATGGTTACAGGGAGATGATGAGACACACTGATGAAAGTTGACAAAGATTTATTACTAGGTGTTCTCTGTACTAATATATTAATTCTACAATTAAAAGTTTCACTATTCAACTAATACAATATTCTTAGTACTACATATAAATATACTGTCATTCTTATCAAAAACCAACTTTCACTTCGAGTTAATTTTAAAATAAATAGTTCCGAACACCTTAATAAGTTATCTAACGTCAGATATTACTTTTGATTAACACTGACCGATAAATATTATTTATACGTAATTTAAAATTGATTTTATAACAATATCAACTAAATGCTTTACTGGCTTTTGCAAAGTGAAAATAAAGCTATTCAATATTAAAATAAATAAATGTTTGTTTTAAATATAATGATTTTTTTAAACTGTATTTTGAATTGTATTAATTCACTGTTTGCTTTTCAGGTAACTTCATTATTGTTCCTAATTTTTGAACCTATTGTAGAATAACTCTTCCTAGAACTACAGGGACAATCTGATCATGTACCCTTTAAACATAAGTATTTTTTTAAAAAAAATTCCTGACAATTTGGCAGTTTTTAAGCACTTTTGACCAAAAAAAATTATTCGAATTGGTTTAACCAATATTTGAAAAGACCCTGCTTTGAAGCAGGCAAGGCGAGAAAGATACATCTTTGGTCATGGTCATCTGATTTGTTCTGTATTGTCCTAATTCATCAAAGGTCATGAAAGGGCTGTAAGAAGTACCCATCTATTAACAGATAGAAGGAAACAATACAAAATGTACTTGATTTTGTTGAATCAAGTCTTAAGAAAAAATTCTTTCGTCGTCTAAAACAAGGAAATATTTTATCGCCTATGTTGAAAATGATATATGTTTGACATATTAGCCCCATTTCTACGCCAAAATTTTCTTAAAATGGAGTGTAAATTTTGTATTGAGTTCATGCAATAAATTATTCGAACTTATGTTCCGTGTTTTTTTGTCCTAGGCATGCCTTAAATAGGAGCTTAAATAACGCAGTGCGTGTTAGGTGTCTACAATCGGTATTTCGGTTGTTTTTGCCATGGGAGAGGAAAAGAAAACGCGGTTAAGGTTAGGACTGAGACACCTACAAAACGTGTAAAGTTAGGAAATTAACTTATAGACGTGAATACGAGCATGCTTATAATACATGTGTACTTATCTTAGCGTGAATACATTTGGCGCAAATATAGGTCATGGATGAATAAAATAACGCTGAGATATCTCCTTCAGTATTTCTGAATTATAATAATATATCAAATTATGATAATGTATCAAATTATGTTTAGACTGTATTCCAACATAAGCGCCCGAAAGTGTGATCGCCGATAAATAAGTACACATTCAGTTAAAGCAGACTACATAACACTAGGGCTAGAACAGTAGGCTTTTGTATGCAATGCCTGATGTTATAATTCGTAAATTGAATTGATTATTGAATTGATAAGTTTCCCTTAAGGTCAAGATTTAGTAATTTTATTCTAATGACTGTACTGTCCTTTTTAATAGATTTATTCATCACTTCTAGATGTTAAATCCAATTTAATGAAGGGATCTGTTTAATCTGCTACATTTAGAATCTAAGTTCTACAAGTTTTACACGAATAAAAATAGATTAATAAAAAGTCTTGCATATTTATTTTAAGAATTAGAGATTTCCGAGAACCAGTTTATTTCAAAATTGAGATTTTTTTAAATGCTTTTTTTTTCTTTGGTTTCGTGAATTATTAAAAAAAAACGTTTATTTTCAAAAATGCTGTACATCATCTTGATTAACTAAATCTTGACCTTAATTTTTTTTTTAAATAATTACGATTTTTTTTTCATCTAACGTTAAAAGATTAACGATAAAGATTAACGTCCTTGACTTGTTTCTGAAGCTGATTTGATTCAATTTACTAATTTTTCTTTCTTTTTTTTCTTTTTCAGACGTTCAAGAAATCGAGAATGCAGCCCAGAAAGACACCATGTCGGCGATAACCATTGCCTATATAATCACTGTCCCGGGGATTATCATCATTTGTATTGGAGTTAACGTTGTAACCTATAGATGGTATGTAATACACATACATCGATTTCTGAAAACCCAAAGAAATGAATTTTAATTAGACACCTATCTTTGATCTTATTCTTTTTAAATCAGGAAATGTACATGCTTTCTTTCGTTGATTTCAATGTTTGCATTTTATTCGTATTTTTTGTAATATAGGTGGGTTTTATTGTGCTCTTTATAAAAACATAACAAGATAACTTGTTTAATTTAATTTAATTGAAGTGGCGTGAAAAAAGGTCGGAGGATAGAACGCAAGCACAATTTACATGGATTCCAAGAGGAAACACAAGCGGTTCATTATCAACATTATCACAATGATGATGAAAACCCGGAAGCTCGACCTTTAGCACAACAGGGTCCTTCCGCTGGCCAAGTATCCATCGACCCAACCCATGACTATGCTGCGTACGATGAAATAAAAGACCAGAGACAACGCATGCAAGAGTCGCAGAGAAGGAAAGAGGGAGGCTATTTGACACCAGTTTCCCAAGATCAGAGTCGGGCACTCCCCCCTGTAAGAACTAATGGAGATGGCTACATCTCCCCAAAGGCAGCAGCAAAAAAATCACTCGAGGAGAGCCGGAAAACTAGCAAATCTGACTCGCCATCACCTCCTGGTAATGGGGGTTACATTTCACCTTTACAACAGGAAAAGAATACCTCTGAAAAAATGGGTTCTGGCAATAGCGATTCCAGCTCGGAAAAATCTGATAAATCGGATAAATCTAGAAAATACCAGAACGAGCCGTCTAGCAAATCCTCACCTAAAACAAAGGCACTTTACGAGTCGCTTAAAGATACCGGTGTCACTCAAGAGCACCAGTATATTGAACTACAGACTTAATTGTAAAACACTTTTTGTTCTTTTTATTCTCTTTCATTGTTTGTTTTTACCGTTAAATTGTTACTAATCATTCCTTTTAAGATTAAAAACGTGTCATTGAAAACATATAAATACCATAAAATATTTATTATTTAATGACTCCTTGATATTTTCATGGTGTTTCAGGTGTGTTTGTGTTCTTGAAAGTTTTGTCTGTATTTTTTGCTATATTATATTTTTTGCATGATAGTTATATGCCAGCAAATTTTCATCTTCATCTAATATTTAAAATAAGCATGTTTAAGTATATTCCATCTAAGCGCTTTTCAATATCAGTTTGATATATGCACAGGAAGCTAAAGATTTCGTTGGCCAAAATGTGGATTAAATGTGTTGTGGTAAAAAATTATGTCACTGCTTTATAAATTTTTAATTTTTAAATTTCTTGCTCTTTTGCTTTTTAATTTTATTCTATGTTTGTGGGTTAATTGTGTCTGTACTGTATGCCTTATCATGTATCAAAGCTTATAATGTACTATTTCTCATATTTTGTCTCTTCATCAATAAACAGTTTTCATAGAAATAACATCTTGTCACCGTACTTGGTATCAAGTGAGTATAATAAAATAATTATAAACATGGAATACAATAAAAAAAACTATATGAAAATGACCTCTGATTTAACGCTCACCAAGCTGAAAAACTGACTGATTATGATGAACTTTATTTTAAAAACGTAGCTATATCTATATTATCCAGTTTTCATCATTCAATCTGAGTTGTAAGATTGTATTACTCAAGCATTATGTTACTGGAAATTATGACTATCAGGAGACTATTAACTTCCATTTCTAATGCAATTAATGATTCATACATGTAGGACAAAGAATGTTTTGTTTAATTAAAACAAATTTGATGTACTTTAAATGAATCCTCATTCAGAAATCACGTAGCTGTTATTCAAACACTTCTTGTGTAAATATTACTTACAAAGTTTTGACAATAAATCATTCGTATTCGTGTTCCACTTCATCTAAGCATGTCCTAAATAGGTGCTTAAATGACGCAGTGCGTGCTAGGTATCCAAATGACGCAATTTAGGGTTATTTTAGTAGATTTTTAGTTAGGGATTGGATACCTACACAACGCGTAAAGATATGAGATAAATTTACGACATTTTTGAAGACCTAAGACGTAAGCAGGGGGAAACATCAGAACATGACACATTTTAAGAAACACACACGTAACACTTTAGGATTTAGGAATTAGAATCTTGCAAATGTTCCTACATGTAATATGTTTGAAATTGAAGAATGTTTTCAAAAAAAATCTTTTAGCTATTTTAATCATAAGGTCAAGATTTAGAAAGCATTTTGCAGACTTTGATTTTTGCAATTAATATAGAAGCCACGGAGATCATGGCGACAGAATGACAAAGAAAAAAATAACTGAAAATTGCACTAAAATGAGCTTAAATGTTAAATGTTAATCAGCTACAATACTTATTTTGATAAAATTTAATTAAGAATATTTTGGAAAATTTGGAAAAATTCTGTAATAATTTAATTTCAATACTTCAGGGTTTTTATGTATTTTTGTGGTATTTAATTACTGTGTGTGTATAATGCCATATATATTATATAATGGTAAAATTTATTAAAAAGGCGTCGGTGAATATCATTATCATGATGTAATTAAAATATTATCAGACGAGACCTGTTAAACACCTGTTAAACTTGTTTGAGTCTGAAATTTCGTTAAGACGAAAAAAAAAATGAAAAATAAAAATTGAAAAATAAATCGATATTTTATAGCTTTTCAATAGCTAAATCTTGACCTTAAAGTAATAGTTAAATATCTAAAGTAATGTGATTGAATTCAATTAGGTCCCAGGAGCTGATTTGTATATTTGTATTAATGGCTGCATTTTTCTTCCTTTCAGCTGTTCCCGAAACAACTTCTGTAACAGAGGAAAAACGTTTGACGATCTATACAGATGAACCTATCATAGAGGATGTAGCTGAAAAAGCTTGTCCAGAGATAACTACAACCTACATTATCACTGTGTCAGGGATGCTTATTGTTTCCCTTGGAATCAACTATATCTGCTTTAAATGGTATTTGCTATCGAAATTAGTTCTCTGAATATTCATATCTTTGGTCTTGCATAAAGATTTATATGGAGGAAAACATGAATAAGAAATGAAATTTAGATATACTAAGATAATTTTGTGTGTTTCATGAAAATGACTTGTAATAACAAAACAATTTTCTTAAGAGGCAGGGATATTCAATGTCGTTATCTTATGACAATTTAATTTTCAACAGTGGTCAGAAAAGTGGTGCTCAAAATGAGCGAAAACGCTTAAAAATGGAATTTTCTGAAGACACACAAGCGTTGCATGTCCAACATTACCATAATGAGGATGAAAACATAGGGCTAGAGACGATAAGTGAACACCCAGGACCCTCTGCAGGCCAGATATCTACAAATCCATCGCATGAATATGCTGCATATGATGAAATCAAAGAGCAGCAACAACGCATGCAAGACTCTCAGAGGAAGAAAGAGGGAGGCTATTTGACACCAGTTTTTCAAGACCCGAGTCGATCACTACCTCCTGCAAGATCAGGTGGAAATGGCTACGTATCCCCAGTCACAGCAGCTAAACAGGCCCAGAAACAACGAAATAAAAATGACTCCCCATCACCACCTGGAAATGGCGGGTATCTTTCACCCTTACAAGAGGTAAAGGATGCGGCTGCAAGGTTGTTGTCAGGCAGTAGCGATTCCAGCTCAGACAAGTCAGATAAATCAGACAAATCTAGGAAATACCAGAATGAACCACCTCGCAAATCTCCACCCAAAACAGCTCCACTTTACGAGGCGATCAAAGATGCTAGTATCACCCAAGAACACCCTTATATTGAACTACAGACTAGTATGTCTTAGACTTTCTTTCTTTCTTTCTTTTTTTTCTTTTTTTTACTTTTTATCATTTATTTTATCTCATTTGTCGATTTTTTTTGTAAAGAAGAACAGTATTAATTTCAATTAGTGGATATTAAATATGACCATGCCTTGGTAGTTTTGATTTTATATTTCATCATAATTTTGAAAAGTTTATTAAGAATAATATTCATGCTAATATTTCGTTCAAGATTTTATTATCAAATTTTTTTGCAAGTTCATTGTCAAAAAGGCTACACATGTATTCATTTGCATGATATGAGCTTAAGTATATATTGACTGAGAAGCTTTCTACCATCGTCATATGCTTAATCGCTTTAGATTTTCTTTTCCTAATTTGTATGAATGATACACTTTAAAATAAGCTTGTTGATAAACTCAGAAAAGCACTTCTCAATTTTTTACTTTGTTAGATTGAGTATTGTATAATTACTATACCTTATTCCATGCTGTAGTATAGCTTAAAGACTATTCATTTTGCAATTTCACTTTTGAACGGTTATTATGGAAATAGTGTTTTGATTCAAAGACAAAAATCGAAGACCAGCTACAACGCATGCAAAACTCTCAGAAGAGGAAAGAGAGAGGCTATTTGACACCAGTTTTTCAAGACCCGAGTTGATAACTTCCTTCTGTAAGATCCAGGGAAAATGGCTACGTATCCCCGGTCACAGCAGCTAAACAGGCCCAGAGACAACGAAATAAAAATGACTCCCCATCACCACCTGGAAATGGCGGGTAACATTCACCCCTAAGAAGAGGATGCGGCTGCAAGATTGTTGTCAGGCAGTAGCGATTCCAGCTCAAACAAGAGCATCCTTATATTGAACTACAAACTAGTATGTCATACATTTTTTGTTTACTTTTTTTCATTGTTTATTTTATCCAATTTTTTCGAAATGTTTTGTGAAGAATAATTGTATTAATTAAAACTAGTACAGTATAACACGTTTATAACGAAGTGCAAGGGACGAATGATTTCGCTTCGTCATTAGTGTAATTCGTTTTATCCGTTTAGTTCACATGTATTTTAACGTCAAGGTGAATATAAATCACTTCGCAAATTCATTATACGCGTGTTCGTTATCAGCGTGTTTTACTGTAGCTATAAAATATGACATGCTTTGGTGGTATTTTTTTGTATATTTCATTTTTATTTTTAAAAATTAGTTTACTAAAATTATTATTCATTCAAACTAATATATACCTAATATACGATAATATATTTGTTTTTTATATTTCATCCTAATTTTTTTAAAGAATATTTTGCAAAGAGTACTAATATTTATCATACTAAAATATAGATTATCACAATTATCATACTATACTAATATTTTGCATTTATTTAGAATACTTGCAGAAATATTTTTGAGATGCCACAAGTGAGACTATTTCGTTCAAGCTCTTATTGCCAGATTTATTTTCAAGTTCATTTTTAAAAAGTCTAGATATTTATTTACTTGATATGAGCTTAAGTATATATTTACTGTAAAGCTTTCTATGTATGCTTAATTGCTTTGGACATTTCCTAATTTGTAAGAATGATGTGCTTAAAGATATGGGTTTTTTTTGCTATAAAAACTTAAATAAGCATTTCTCACTTTTTTCTATGGTTGAGTGTTGTATTATTATACCTTATTCCATGCTTGTAGTATAGCTCAAAGAGTACTCATTTTGCTTTTTCACTAATAAATGGTTTATATGGAAATAGAATAGTGTTTATCTGTAGACTAAATAATCTATTTCGGATTTATTGCTGGTGAAAATAACTTTAATACAAAAGTACTGAAAAAAATTTCACATAAAGAAAAAAAAGCCTTTAAGTACAGTCCTTGATACATAGTTCATAAGTTTATGAATAACGATAAATGACGTACAGTTTAAAGTTTAGATAAATCTATCAATAAATTCATTTGTAGTTATTTGAAATTATTATTGAAAAAAATTGTTAAAGCAACGAACTTTTCCCTGAAAAAGTTTCTTTCTTCACTTCAGCTATGTAAGTCAAGAAGTTTCGTGTAAGTATACCTTAAAAAATATCTGTACAATATCAGTAACGATCCTCTAAAAACTGCTGTTGAAATACCGTCGTCTAACTACCATTCCTTATGGCTGATCTGTGAATATTCCATCGCCATCGGAAGCAAGTTTTAACTTGACTAGTTAGTCGTGCAGTCGAGCACGCTGTTCCTGAACGGCTAGGAGACAGATTCCGCAGGTCAAAAGGTCAACTTCTTGGGTTCGGGTTTTAGTGGGTATCCTTGCAATTTGAAATTCTCTTTGATAATTATATATGTGACAATTTTCAACAAAAAAAAATCGTTGACCAAAAATTAATTCTTATTGAATGGTAGAGTTTTTTAATTTTTTTTTTTTGTTTTTGGCAAAGTAAGTTTTGGGAATATTCCTACGCAATAATGTTTCATAAAAAATGATTATTATTTATTGAGATTGAGGAATATTAGTTAGTCATAAGTTCAAAGGTTGAATTTAAAAAATTCAAATAATATGCGTTTAATTAAATTTTAATGTTTTTTTCTTTTTCTTTAACAAATCTAACTAACAAAGTGTCGATCAGTTAATGTTTACATATCCGTAGATACCGTTAGATCAAGATTAATCAAACCATTCTACCTACGAGGATATTGTTCTACCGAGTTTATATTGAGACCAAGATTAACATTCCTCAGAGATTTTAGCTAGAAAGCCAGGGTAGTTTTGAGATTTTTGATTGACAAATAATATGAAAAGCAGTTGGGCGAAAAATTGCCTTGACATTTTATTTGATAAAATGCAGCTTTTCGGGAACAGCACAACTACATGTATATGCTACATGTATTTTAATTAAATCAAAGCATAATGTACACAATTTTTTTTAAAAAAAGATCATTATTCATTTGGTGGTCTAAGGAAAAGGATAAAATCTGCAAGAGTGTGTTCTTAATAAGAGTGGTCAAGTTTTCTATCAAAGAAAATTGGACCACTCTTTTTTAAAGGAAAAAAGTATTTTAAATAAATGTCATCTCTATTTTCAAGTGTTAGTGTTTATGTTTATAAAATATGCTTTAGATAACAACCCTCACCTCAAAGATAAAGTGTACAAATCCAACAGAAATTTATTCTCAATTTTCTGATAGAAGGAAGAATTAACAAAAGTGCACTGATTGGAATAATGTTAGGGAGTTATTAGATTACTAGAATGAGGTACATGTAATTACAGATATCCGAAGATTCGAGATATCAGGGGAAAAAATACTTAAAGAATAAGTGGTCGGGACTTCTAAATCAGTTTGACATATCCATGGTTTTCGAAATATCAGTGTTCGAGATATCGAAGTTCAACTGTATATAAGAAAGACATGCTCTGAAATACCTTAATCTTACTAATGCATCTGATTTTCAGTTGAAATATGGATACAAATGCCAATGAAGCCTAAGGAGGAGGAGTGGGGGACCATGTGGTGTTCTCTTAGGTATATTTTCCTTATGTATTAATCATTAACAATAAAGCTTTAAAAACCTCCCCTTTAAAGCAATGGACACATTAGAGAAAAACAGGAACAAAATTGAATGCCATATATTTTTGACGCCAATTCAAAATGTTTGCCAATTGCGTAAGCATTGATATTGAAAGATAATTACGAAGTTGTGTTTGAATTATATTGCTGAAATGATAAGCACTTAATTAATATTACAGAGCTTTCGAATCAAACATTAAATCTCACATAATCGGAAAAATTCGATTACAATTCATATACATTTTATAATCTATTAATTTTTATTGTTTTCTTTTCAGAACAGTGTTTTGTTAATGTTAAAACAAGATCTACTATTACTGGTAGTTAAGAAATAATATCTAGGTGAAGTACTCTCGTTCCATTAGAAGTAACTTAGCTGGTAACTAAACCAGTTAAATAGAATATATTTGAAATGGTGAGCTTTAAAGACGGTTCTTCTTGATATTAACCTCCTTTGGGTACCTCAATTACTTTGTACAGATATGTTTTTGGATTGGAATATGACAAATGTAGTTGGGCGTTATTTATACATTTTATATAAATGCATATAACTAAAGAACCAGTGTGTTTCCTGCTTTCTACACCTCAATATACGAGGGTCGTTCAATAAGTAATGCAACATAGGGTTTATCATAATAAATGTAGAAGCACTTATTTTTTTCAAATATTAGAAAAGTTATATTTAAGAAACCCTTATCACCGAAAACCGCATGCATTTTTCTACTATCTTCGCAAGGAAATTCACGTTTCAAGACAAGCATGGTCAATACACTGAGTTGAACACTAATTTAAAATGGTCCCTGCCAAGAAGATGAAAATGGGGGCGTATGTGAAAACTATTCATTATTATATAACAAATAACTGAAGAACCAATAGAAAGGGATAGTTTTTATATAGATTTCTGACAAAGGAAATGAATCTAAAAAAATTGGGTGCCTTATTTCCTATTACATATGCCAAAGAGAAAACATGCGTTATATATGCCAATGGTCTATTAAAAAATTAAGGCTTTTAAACAAAAGAAGGTATGAAAAACTTGTTCGCTGAGATTTCCTTTGGGCTTATAGTCCAAAAAGAAGATCAATTATAAAATGTGGAATTGGAGAGAAATCCGTCGTCCTTTATTTGCAAAGAGAAGCCAGCGCTCCAAGCATATCTTATACAGGTTTTATTGTTTACTCAAGAAGTCCAGTAATCTATTTTCCTACACCAAAAGTAAGAACCTTCAATGGTAGATTTATGTTAAAACTGCACTACGGAAAGATAAGCAGGTTTCCTGTAAGAAAAGTCCAACTGCCAGTCATCTTGGTGATTTTCCTTTACCTGACAAAACTGCTGCATATAAGCATAGAGATGTAAAGAAAATTTTAAGAAAGGAACGTTTACAGAGCAAAGCAAGCCCCTGTATTCGCTAGATCTCAGTCATTATGATAGGAAGACACCACAATTGCAAGAATGTAGTGGGGAGTGCTATACATCAGTGTCTGTTGAGCTTCCCCAAAGACAAAGACATATGTAAAGATTAACAGGGGATACATTGGATTAAGAATATAAAGAAATTGCTTTCCGCACTTTTCTGGTTTTTAAAGACCTTTTGCATTACTTATTGAAAGATCCTTGTAATTGCAGTTGTAACTATGTTATTTTGTTTGATTATAAATAATTATCAATATTTTGATTTTTTTTCAGAAAAAAAAAACTTCATGTATGAAAATGAATCATGAAAAAGTTAAAAATTAGTTGTATTGATTCCGAGCAATCAGTATCAAAGAATTTGTGTAATAAATGTAGTATTCGGACATAAATGATTAGAACAATTCATTACTCATCCATTTTTTCCGCTCAAATTTGATAAAAGGGATAGGTTTAATCATTCAAAGTGTTACAATGAACTTTGGACAAAATTGTCAATTAAGAGTGGCTTTTAAAATAGCATTTAGCATATATGTACAGCATGCATATACCATGACTTTGTATATTTCTGATAAAATTTTCATAAAACCAAGCAAAACCTTGGAAATTACTTTTCATGCCGAACTTTTGTATGGTATCCAATCACCTTAACATTTTTTCATAAAACCATGGAAAACTTAGGAATTTCCTTATTTTTTATGCCGAACTATTGCATGGTATCCATGCACCTTAAATTTCAAATGATCTATAATCATACCAGGAAACTATTTACATTAAAAGAGTATGCAACAGGCCTATACTTTTGAGCACTTCACCTGCAATATTATTAGGTTTAAATATTAGGAACAACTTAAATTTTTATCAGTGTTTGTGATAAAAAAAAATGATTTATTTTAAGTTTTCCCACTTATGTGCTATTTAAAACCGCAGTGTTTTCATTTATTACTTCCTATGAGGATGTATTGAATTCTCATTAAATTTAATCATTCATTCAGTTCTAATCAGTATGGCTAGATTTAAATACAAAAACTGTAACAACCATTTTTCACTTTTAACAAATAATAGCACAATTCAAAGCATAGTCACCTCGAAATGTATGAAGTTATCTGAAATATTTATTGTATTCAGGTTTTAAGCCATCTTGTTGACCCTTTCATTTGTTTATTGAAGTGTGAGGAAAAAAGAGCCAAATACTTCAACAAATCTACTGGTGGACAATCAGGTTAAGGAAATCTGCTCTGCTGGGGAACAACTAGGTCAAGAGAATCAGGTGGACTACAATCAGGTCAAAGACATGGATAACCAGGTCTACTGGTAATCTACTGAAGGACAACCATGTAAAGAAAATCTACTTGGGAACAATAAGTCCAGGTCATGGACGTTACCTGGGAAAACCAGATAGGAATCTTAAATAATTACAACTAGCCAGTACTGTATCACAATAGCGTTGAAACGATATTAAAGATAATTACGTGACTGATTAATGCTTTTCCTCCTCTTCAATGTTTGTTTTATACACATGTATATTTTCATTCTTAAAATAAATGACATTCAGTTGTAGTTTAGGTTCTTCAATTCAACGTGTACAAATCAGAAACGTACCATAGAGAACCAACATTCTCTGTATTTCCTTTAAAATGCTTCCAATGTTAGATTTGAGGAATCTTACAACTTGAAGCTCACATATATGATTTTTAATCTTTATGTAAATCAACAATTTTGCTAGTAAATCAAAGAGTCATGATTTTGTGTTTTGTGTTATTTTTTGGGCATGCATTGATAAGATATTCAAATTGCGCAGCTTTTGTAGGTTGTCCGAATGATGCAATTATTCGATGCAGTTAACAAGTTACTTATTCAATAAAAATAAAACATGTAATTTATGTATTAGATTCACACTTGCATTTATTAGAACACGAGTTATTAAGCTATGCAGAAAAGAAAAATTCACACGACAGTCACAAAAAACTTATGCACCCATGTAAGAGTTGTAAACTAACTCTTTGTTTATGTTATGGTTTGACAATTCTTTATGAAATGCATGATGAACAAGATTTTTTCTAAGACTGTTTTAATGCATTGATTTTTCTGTTTTGATTAAATAAATGAATTTTACCCTTGAATCTAGGTCTGTATTGAAATCAAATATTACTCTGCTTTTCATGTAATGTTTCTTTTTTCCCCAGACGTTCCAGAAATAGAGACGGTCCAAGTAGAGAAGGGACTTCCTGTGATTACCATAGCCTACATTATCACTGTGCCAGGGATTCTAATTCTTTGTGTCGGGGTCAATTTCATCACTTATAAATGGTAACATAGTTCCTATTAAAGAATAACCTATTATTGATATGTTTGATAATAATATAAAAAGTTAAATTATAATAGTTCTGTTGTAGTGTTCTGAATAATTTTCTTTGGATGATTAATGACATTTTAAAAAATAAAAAAAAATCTATAACTTAATTAAAGGGGGATGAAAAAAGGTCAGAAGAAAGAACGCAAACGCTTTTTGCTTCGATCCCAGGAAAATACACAGGCGGTGGATTATCAGCATTATTTCAATGATGACGAAAATTTTACACTGCAGTCATTTAATACAGAGGGACATCCGGGAACCTCATCTGCCTACAGGTTTAAGGAGTCTCAGGACCCCTCACACGACTATGCTGATTATGATGAAATAAAAGATCAGAAACTAGAGGCCAAATGGAGGGACGAAAAAGGGTACTCTACAGCAGAATTCCGAAGTCTAAATCGGCCATTGCCTCCCATTAAAGCAGAAGAAAATGACTATATGTCTCCTGGAGATGAACTGCCTTTGGAACAGAGAAACAGCAGCACATCGAATGACTCCTCATCACCCCCAGGAAATGGAGGTTATCTTTCTCCGCTACAAGAGGAAAAAGAAGCTGAAGAGAGATTAGTGTCCAACAACAGCGATTCTAGTTCAAACAAATCTGAAAAATCGGACAAGTCAAGAAAATATGAAAACGAGCCGTCTCGCGATTCTTCGTCCCAAGCAGTAACACCTTATGAAGTGATAAAAACTACCGACGAGAGTAAACAACATCAGTACGTAAAACTCCGGACAAGCACATCCTAGTCTGCTACTAGTTATTTACAAAGTGGATGTCTTCTTCTAATGCAAACGTTATTTTTGTCTTTGATCCAATTAAGTACATGGATCAATGTGAAAAGTGCAATCCGGGATAAGATAAAATCAGGGAAGCTGCATTATGGTACATGTAATTCTAAGTCCCTTGAAGTGACTGGTGATTTCTTATTCAGACACATGCAAGTGTTTATGAAGTCCATAAGAATCTAAGCTAAAAAAAACTGCATTATGATTTAAAATCTTTGAATCTTTGAATAGAATTTTTAATATTACTTTTAAATATAAATTTACCTAAAAGCTTAATGAAAATTGAATGTTTAAAGTCTCCAGATACTTGTTTTTAGTACAGTGTTTTTGCTTCTTACCCTACCAAAAAGTACTACAGTATACGAGGGGTTATCAAAAAGTTCGTGGACTGATGCGATAAAATTAATACTAGGCAGTCTGTGCTTACAAAATTTATAAGGAACATAAAACAATAAAAGTTTAACAAATGTTGAAAATTTTAGCTTGATACGTTGATAATTTGCCAAATTATTCTAAAATAAAAAAGACATTATATGATCATCCGGCGCTGTCGCCGTTTAGTTTCATGACGTCCGACAACGTCATCGTTTCTCAATGTCCGCTCTCTCTACCTCATACACTTATCTTGATGAGATTACCTGGAGTTAAGTAAGGACCTAAGCCCGTCTCTTGTTTATATTACTTTACACTGTCATGAACAGCTGATTTCAGTGCACATAATATTGTAAATGAATCTATACATCGGGAAAGATCCTCACTTGATCATGCCAGAATACTTAGCTTGTTGGAGTTCAATTTCTACCACACATGATCAACGTCACTCTCGACGTGACTAACTTTTGACACTCTGACAACAAATCGACATTAACTGTGCGTATTTCATCTCTCTGAATCTTTGTGGGTATTAAAAGCAAGTACTCTGGATGCATTTTATTTTTCTGTAGCCCCTTTAAACATTCCCTAAGTCATTACCAGTTTTTCCAGGTGCGAAACTGTATAGGATCTTGGAAAAAGAAACCCTCCCCCTTTTTGACGTCATTTTCAAACCCTTAATCGTTTGGACACTCCATATAAAATTAACGATGAAATTTCATAGAACTTACAGAATGGGGTAAAAATTGCAAATTTTACGGAACAATTGTGTCGTACCACATTCCTGAATTAAAGGGATTTTTTTTATGACAAATGCTCATATCAAGAGAGTTTTTCTCAATTATACTCAGGTAGAAAAAACGTCATATTTGAGGTTGCGCCGCCTGGACATACCATTGCTTACAAAAACATTAATAATTTATTAAAAATTAAAACTTATGATGTATGGTTTATTCTATAGATAGAAAAGATGATGCTTACTAAATGTCTTAAAATTCGTTGATGTACCTAAAGCGGTTTTAATCTTATGGCGCTAGTCCACGAACTTTTTGATAACCCCTCGTAGTGTACTATATATTTATAATTATCAATAGTATACTATAGTAAGAAGTTTGTACTATAGATTATTAAGTCTTTACTACACTTAATCGAATATTTTTAATATGAATTTCATTTGTAATTTTTCTTAAGAATTCCTACAAGTAATTTCCCTATATTAAAAGGAAATATTACTTGTATTCACATATTATTTTTAAATGAACATCATTTGCATGTAATTTAAAAAAATATCAAGGCTCGTTATAGTAAAAAAAATCATAATGAGTCAGAGTAACAAATTATTTACTATGGTTAAAATAGTTAACTATAGTAAACTATAGGTAATGATAGTAATTTCTTGTTGGGGTAGTATGATTTATTCTTATCTAGATAACTATAAGCTTACTTGTGTAAATTTGCCTTAACTGATTATAAATATTGGATATATGCTTGTTAAAAAATAAACCAAAACTTTTAGAATGTGTTCCCTGTTTACTATTTTTTGTGGTCAAAACATGCACAAAATGCGTATTTCAGGGAATACCGATCAAAAATCAAGGACTTATAAGCATTTTTCGACATATCTGCACAATATCACCAGTTTGGAATTTTCACAAATGAAACACCGATTTAAAAGCGTTTGAATCCATAACTTTTCTTCAATCTTGCACCATTTCTCTTTTATTTAGGGTAAAGTAGTCAGAAATGGATCATGCAATAATTTGGAAGGTTTTTATAGATTTAAATTTATTCGACTTCGTTTGGCTGTTTTAGACTAAAACCTATTAATATGTAAATATGCTAAGAGTCATTAAAGGGAATTATATTCTAAATTAGTTGTCCTCCGGACTTGATTGAAAAAAGTCTTCCTTTAGTATTTCAAAACTGATTTAACATAATGTATATATTATGCCTTCAGGATGTTATATAAGCACAAAAAAGAAACCATTATATATCATGAAACAACGTGAAATTGTTCTGAAAATAGACTTTTATTGAGAATACGTTACCTTATAGGAAAAAACACTTTATCTTCTCAATAACCTGTTATTTTCCACCCCTTTCTATTAAAAAAAAAAAAAAATAAAATGCATAATATTTAGAAAGGATAAAACCAATATTAGTGGAGATGCCTCGTATCTTCTATAAAGAAAACACCCTATCCAAAAATTTGCTTCAGATTTCATTTTTCTTTCAACAACATATTTTTTCTAAGCTACGATAATCTATGTTGATCAACTATTGCTATATCCCTAGAAACCAAGTCAACAAGGAAATGATATTTTTTCTCGTTGATATGTTCGTTTTAGGATCAAATGTGGGTCAGTCTTGCTTAACAAGAATTAACAGGAAACCAAATTTAAGTAAATTTTATGGCATTTGTTAATACCTGTTATCGTTAAAAGAGAGAATGAGAGGTATACCAAAATGCAGGATTATCCCCATATAGATTTGATAATGTACCAATATTCTCTGATTATAGGTTAGAAAGTATGAATACTCTAAGTTATAAACAACAACTATTACATTTTAAAAGTTTTGATAGAAAAAATATTCTTTTTAAATTTACTTTTAAGGATCTTTCTCTGCAAAAAAATTTAACTCATTGTCATACTGTAATACATTTTTTTTTTAATTTAAAACCGTTTCTTTTTACGTTCTAAAAATCAAATTAGTAAATGAAAAGACACAGTAAAAATTCTTATTTATTTTATGAATCTACCATTTTAAATACCATATAAGCAGAAATTTTAGCGCAGATTCAATTTTTAGCGGGTAGTTGAGTTCGCTAAATTTAAAAATCGCTAAAAATATTCCGTTACCATTATCTTTCTATCCACCAGGAAGTCGCTAAAATCACTTCTCGTGATAATTAAATGCTGATTTTTGAGGACAAATCGCTAAATTTGCTTCTCGATAAAATTCCATTTATACGGTGCAATGAGTGATGATTCTATATTTTTTTAAATGTTATAATAGTCAACATTTCTTCAATTTGTGAGGTGTTTTTCGAAAAAAAAAAAAGATAAACTATAGAATTTATTACAATTTCAATTTGGTCAAACAACTTGCAAAATTAAGTTTCTTTAACAAAATAAGAATGAAATTATCAAAGGTATAAAACTATATCAAGAAAATATATATACTAAAGGACATATTCCTAGTACGTATTTAAGCTTTTTAGTGTATGTATATAAAAATATGTCATGAAGTGGTTACATAAGTCTATGATAAAATTCTAAAGTATTACTTAAAACTTGACTTGTATCGGAACAAATCGACGGAATGTTTTCTTTTAAGTACATAACACATTTCAAAGGAAAGCCAATTAAAATTTAATGGCTTGTGCATCTGGAGAACATAAAGCGAAAATATAAATAAATTTATAAAGACAGGAAAAGAGGAAATAATTTCTTCCTCGGTCTCAAGCACTTAAATTATTTTTCCCTTTCATCATACGATAAAGTACGTTTTTACCCATTCTGTTATAAGTACTTCCTCAATCAATGCTAGTATGATTTTCCTCTTAACGAGAATAAAATATTTGGGGTATGCAGAAATATAAATAGTTTCTGTTCATGTTTAGACAAAATACATGAAAAATAGCCTGAAATTGCCACATTTAGGGAACATAGAATTTGATTTATATTTTCATTTTGAATGACAAAGAATCATATTATTACTATTTTGCACTTTCTTGTTCAGTTAAATCACTTTATTTTAATGATATTGGAAATATTTTAAGCTCAAAGTCCATTTTAACAAAGCAAATCGGGAGCAGAGCAAACACATCAGAAGTAGGATCAGTAGCCATTGAGGAGTGAGCATCCCCTACCGACCAGTCGCACCCGCTGTGTGCCCCCTGTCCTGATCATGAAAAACGGAAAAATCCGTAGATAATTCAGAGTGTAAATAATGGCCTAACAATCAGCACGAAAAACGCCGGTTTGGATTCGACCCAACGATAGGCCGCACCTGCGGACAAAGTCACTGCATCGACCACAAAACCCGCAAAATGATGTGGTTTGTCGACATTCTTGCTCCATCAACCCGCCTGCGAACAGTTTGCCTCGCTCCAGAAATTGTTCATATGTAGAGTATGCTCTTGCATATCAAACCTGGGAGACAAAAAACCCACATGCAGCCGACAAAGACACACCGCCAAACAAGAAAGGGAAGCCACCACGTATATCACAAAGCCCTGCTATCAGGTTACCATTAAAGTATTTTTCTAGTGAAATTTCCAAATATGAAACAGACGTGTCAGACTCTGTGGTATCCCTCATTCCAAGCTCACTGGGGTATAACGAGTCGACATATGGAAGTAACTATTGTTAATTGATAATACGTCGTGAACACACCCAAAAGTCGAGTTGAAGGCAACAAGTGTTTTCTTCTTCCCAGTCAGACTTTTTGAATGAATTCTGCTTCATATGAATACAAAATGGGTGTAATTGGTACCAATGACAATTACAAACAGATTGTTGGAAGACCTGATCTCCTAAAAACTACAGATATTGTCAATCAGAAACGCAAACATCTTTTTTAATATCACCTTCAGAGTATTTGTGTGTACAATGAGAATTTTTTTTGACAAAATAATTTTGCAAATGACTTATGACAAGGTAAATACATTTACGAGTTCCATGTTTATTGAAAGAGCAGCTATCTATGATATCAAAAAGCCTGGGCTTAAATTTATCATGGGGAATGGTTGTATAAAGTCTAGAACAGAAGAAATGGCTAAAATTACAATTATTTTTCTTTTTAAAAATTTGTCTTCCTTCTTCTATTGTTTTCTTTGTTAAAATGAAAGTTTTCATACGTTAGGATAACCATCCTCTAAAGAATTGCAAAAACAGATTTCTACTCAATTACGCACCTTGATCCAACAGTTGCAACCTTTTTTAAAACGGTATATGAGGTATCGTTTG